CCAAAACATATAGAGAGCTCGGTCCACCCATTAGATTGATGTGATTAGTGTTTAGGAGTGACACCCAAATGAACACCTTGCTTGGTTATGAAAGAGGATGAAATCTTAATGCTCGCCAGTTAGTCTATTTATCCTCGCTCAACGATGTAGTTAGATAGCTAACTAGGGTAGGCGACGAGAGGTGTATAACCCGGATCATACTATCAACCCTATAAACTAGTAACTTGACAACTGAAATTAATTCTAAGCTAATAATATGATACAAGATATTCAGTATATGTTGCATCCCTGGAATTGCTTTTAACTTGCTTGAAACATTATATCAAAGTTGTTCACAATTAGTTACGTTTAATTAGTGCATAATTATTAGTAGATAAACAACAAATCATCAACTCTTGAAAATGTTACTTTTTACTTTTAGTTGTAGAAGTAAGTGAGTATAAGTTGATCATAAGTCCCTTGGGAACGATAACTCGTTTCTTTAAGAATCTATATTACTTGCGCGACCAAGTACACTTGCGTGTATATTGGTGAGCCAACAAGTTTTTGGCGCCGCTACGGGGGATTTAGAAATTGATTTATATTCAATCTTCTTAAGTCTACACTTAATATATTGAGATATTAGTTACTTGATCTTAGCTTGTTTATTGCAGGTACTTGATTTTCAGGTCTGGCTCGGAAAGGAGATCTTATTGAACCTTACAACGAACCTTAAAGAGTTTTACGACAGTGTAGAAAAATAAATCAAGGACAACAAGGAGAATTGGGGTTAGGTATTCCGAGAAACTTTGTTGATGATAATCAAGACAACCTGAATAACCTGAAAAACGTAAATAACCCAAGGAACCCGAATAACCAAAGAGTACCGCCTTATGTTCTCGCAAGACCAGTCTGTGATGTGGCAGTCCTACTCACAGCCAACTTGGCATCTAGTATTAGAAAACCTCCATCGGGGGTTGATTTGAACTAAAGCAGAGCATGGTACAGATCCTCCATCTTAATGGGCAATCACTGGTCTCCCCCATGAGGATTCTCAAATCCATCTTAGGACGTTCATTGAAATTACCAATACATACATCCCAATTGAAGTCTCATCAGACTATGTAAGGTTGACTTTGTTCCCATACTCATTGTTAGGAGCTACAAGACGTTGGTTAGACTCTGAGCCACCAAATTCCATTACCACTTGGGATAATCTAGCAAAGAAGTTCCTGAGTAGATTTTTCCCATCTAAGAAAACCGCGAAGTTGAGAGGGGAGATAATAAACTTTGTTCAAAATCAAGGGGAGGACATGTACCAAGCATGGGCACGTTTCAAACAAATGTTGATTTCTTGCCCACACCACATGCAAACCAATAAGGTACTTGCTCACACTTTCTTTGAGGGTTTAGACTATAATGCTCGTTCTCTTCTTAATAGTGCAGTAGGTGGACAGGCCCTATCCATAACGAGTGAAGAGTTCTTCGCCCTACTAGATAAACTTTCAGGAAGAAACCAAGGGTATGAGGGGGAAATGTCTAAAAACCCCACCCAAAAGGCTGTAGGGATCTTAGATGTAGACCAAGCTACTGCCATAAATGCCAAATTAGATGCAATGCAACATAACATAACCTTACAAATTAAACAAATAGCTCTAAATCAGGCACCGATAAACATGGTACAACAAGCAGCAAATTGGTGTGAGGTATGTGGTGGTGGAACTTATGAAACCGAACAATGTGAGGCAAACCCGGATTCCGTAAATTATATGTGTAATGCACAAAGAGGTGGAGTGCAACAAAATTATGTAATACTTACAACCCTAGTTGGAAGAACCATCCTAACTTCTCATGGGGTGGTAACCAAAACCAAAATCAGGCGCAAGGGATTAACCAATACCGTTCTCAAGGAGTTGGGCAACAATACTTAAATTCTAACCAAGGCCCAAATCCGAGTGCACCAAAAGGGGGGATGACCAATGAAGAGCTACTCCAAAAGCTCATGACTGAAATAGAGACCAAATTAAATGCTAGAATAGATAAGCAGGATGAAAACATTAGAAACATCCAGATGTCGCAAATGAGTTTAGAGAAACAAGTTGCGCAAGTGGCTAATTCCTTGAACTTGCGTCCTCTGGGCGGGCTGCCCGATGTTACTGAGCCAAATCCAAAGCAATTGCATGTGGTAAGTACTAGAAGTGGGCTGCAATTAGAGGAACTAGCTCCAAAGAAAAGAGACACTGAGGTAAGTAACAAAGAAAAGAAGGTGGAAGAGGTAGTAAAAAGCTCCAATGTTGAGGTACCCGTTCCTCAAAAGAAATTACCACCTCCATTTCCACAGAGGCTGAAAAAGCAGAATGAAGATGAATGCTTTGGTAAGTTTCTCTCTCTCCTTAAACAAGTTCACATTAATCTACCTTTGGTTGACATTTTGCAGGGTATCCCGAAGTATGCTAAGTACGTGAAGGACATAGTGGCCAGCAAGAGGAGACTCACTGAATATGAAACTGTAGCACTTACTGAGAAGTGCAACTCAAGGATCCAAAACAGACTGCCCAAAAAGTTAAAAGATTTGGGTAGTTTTACTGTGCAGATTACAATTGGGCAAACTGTTCACACCCGGGGGTTGTGTGATTTGGGGGCAAGTATAAATTTGATGCCTCAATCTTTGTATCAAAAGCTTGCGTTAGGTAGTCCAAAGCGAACCACTATTATTCTCCAACTTGCAGATAGATCCATTGTTAGGCCAGAGTGGGTGGTAGAAGATGTGTTAGTGCAAGTAGGTTCATTGATTTTTTTGGTAGATTTTGTGGTCTTAGACTTTGAACCCGATTCTGAAGTTTTATTCATTTTGGGACGATCTTTCTTGGCCACAGGTAGGGTATTGATTGATGTAGCAGCTGGTCAACTAACCATAAGGGCACATGATAAGGTAGAGGTATTTGATGTTTACCGCGCTTTAAAATTACCTTCTATTTATGAAGAGTTGTCTGCTATTACTGTGGTTGATTGCATAGTAGAATCACAAGTAGTTGTGCCTGAAGATCCTTTAGAAAGAGTGTTAGTGGGTCATGAGATAAAGGGAGACCCTGAAGCTCAAGAGATTGAATCATGCTTAAATCTAGCACTAGTACACACTCGTAGGAATCAAGTGGAGTCATTAGATCGCGAGTTGGGGGCCCCACCAAAGCTATCAATAGAAGAAGCCTCGACTTTGGAACTAAAAACTCTACCGGCTCACCTAAGGTATGCTTATTTGGGTACTAATGAAACCTTGCCTGTTATACTTTCTGCAGAATTGTATGACTTACAGGTTGATGCGGCACTGAGGATCTTAAAGTGGAGGAGGAAAGATATTGGATGGCAGATAGTTGATATTCATGGGATTAGTCCGGCTTTATGCATGCACAAAATTTACATGGAAGAGGATCACAAACCCAAAGCATAACATCAACGTCGACTAAATCTTGTGATGAAAGAAGTGGTAAGAAAGGAAGTCATAAAGTGGCTAGATAGTGGAATTGTGTACCCAATCTCTGACAGTAAGTGGGTAAGTCTGGTACAATGTGTTCCAAGAAAGGAGGTATGACAGTGGTTAGGAACGAAAAGAATGAGTTGATTCGTACCAGAACAGTGACCAGGTGGAGAATTTGCATGGATTATCGAAAAGTAAATGAAGCTACACGGAAAGATCACTACCCTATTCCTTTCATTGATCAAATGCTTGACCGACTAGCAGGGCAGGAGTACTATTGTTTCTAAGATGGATATTCCGGTTACAACCAGATCTTGATTGCACCAGAGGATCAGGAAAAGACCACGTTCACTTGTCCTTATGGCACATATGCCTTCAAGCACATGCCGTTCGGACTTTGCAATGCACCAACAACTTTTCAAAGGTGTATGATGGCCATTTTTCATGATATAGTGGAAGACTTTGTTGAGGTGTTCATGGATGATTTTTCCATCTTTGGGAAGTCTTTTGAGGTATGTCTCTGAAACCTTGATAAAGTACTTGCTAGATGTGAAGACACTAACTTAGTTCTAAACTGGGAAAAATCTCATTTTCTTGTAAGAGAGGGAATAGTGTTGGGACACAAGGTGTCTAAATATGGTTTGGAAGTTGATAAGGCTAAGGTAGAAGTAATTGAGAAATTGCCCCCTCTCATTTCTGTAAAAGGTGTGCGTAGTTTTCTTGGTCATGCAGGTTTTTACAAGCAATTCATCAAGGATTTTTCCAAGATTGCAAGACCTATGTGCAGTCTCTTGGAGAAAGAGGTGAAGTTTGACTTTGATGAGATATGCTTAAAAGCTTTTGAGATGTTGAAGATGAACTTAATTGAAGCTCCCATCTTAATTGCTCTGAATGGGAATTACCATTTGAACTCATGTGTGATGCAAGCGACGTAGCAGTAGGTGCAGTGTTGGGACAAAGAAAGAATAAAGTGTTCCACTCGATCTATTATGCAAGCAAGACCCTTGACTCTACACAAGCTAATTACACAGTGACTGAGAAGGAGATGTTGGCTCTATTGTTTGCCTTCGACAAGTTTAGATCGTATTTGGTAGGTACTAAAGTGATTGTTTTTACTAACCATGCAGCTATTAGGTACCTATTCAACAAGAAGGATGCTAAACCAAGGCTGATTCGATGGATATTGCTTCTCCAAGAATTTGACCTTGAGATCAAAGATAGAAAAGGTACGGAGAATCAAATAGCAGATCACTTATCTAGGTTGGAGGATTTTTCACATGTGAATGAAGGTGAGCGAATCCGGGAAGAGTTTTCGGATGAACAATTGATGGCATTAGATATCTCTCAAGTGTCATGGTATGCTGACATTGTGAATTTGATAGTAAGTGGTGATTATCCGTCGGGTTCAACCACCCAACAAAAGAAAAAGCTCAATCATGATGTCAAGTTCTATATTTGGGATGAACCATTCTTGTTCAAGCAAGGCGTTGATCGGGTAGTAAGAAGGTGCATTCCGGAAGCTGAGGTTCACAAAGTGCTCGAAAGTTGTCATGCTAGCCCATATGGAGGTCACCATGGAGAAGAGCGTACTGCTCATAAGGTACAACAATTTGGTTTCTTTTGGCCCTCGTTATTTAAAGATTCTATTGCTTTTGTGAAGGGTTGTGATAAATGCCAAAGGTTGGGTACTATTTCAAGAAGACATGAGATGCCGCTAAGTAACATTTTGGAGGTGGAAATATTTGATGTGTGGGGTATTGACTTCATGGGTCCATTCCCTCCATCTAATGGAAACCATTACATTCTTGTGGCTGTGGATTATGGTAGTAAATGGGTTGAGGCTATCGCTCTTCCTTCCAATGATTCAAGGGTGGTGATAAAGTTCATTAAGAAGCACATCTTCACTCGCTTTAGCACGCCAAGGGAAATTATAAGTGATGGAGGTAAACATTTCATTAACCATCTTGTTAAGAATCTTCTTCCTAAGTATGGTATTTGGCATAGGGTTGCTACAGCTTACCTTCCTCAAACGAGTGGCCAAGTGGAGGTTTCGAATAGAGAGGTGAAGCAAATTTTGAAGAAAATGGTGAATGCGCAAAGGAAGTATTGGTCTGATAAACTAGATGATGCATTGTGGGCATATAGGACTGCGTATAAGACACCAACAGGGACTTCTCCCTATCACATAGTATTTGGGAAAGCATGTCACCTTCCGGAGAAATTAGAACATCAAGCATGTTGGGCAATCAAGAAGTTGAACTTAGACCCCGAGCTAGCCGGTAAAAAGAGAGTGAATCAGCTACATGAACTTGAGGAGTATAGGCTCTACGCGTATGAGAATGCCAAGCTATACAAAGAAAAGACAAAGAGGTGGCATGACAAGCACATAGTAGGTTGTACCTTCAATCCAGGAGATAAGGTACTACTATTTAACTCTAGACTTAGGGTATTCCTCGGAAAACTAAGGTCGAAGTGGAGTGGTCCTTTTGAAGTGGTTAGATTGACACAACATGGGGTTGTTGAACTTAAAAGTAAGACTGGCCTTACTTTCTTAGTCAATGGGCAAAGAGTGAAACACTATTTCGGTGAGGATTCGGATCTTGATCGGGAAGCTCTTGAGCTAAATGATGAATGATTCAAGTAGTGTCGTACCGCGATGTTAAATCAAGCGCTACATGGGAGGCAACCCATGAACAATATGTAATAGATAGTTCTCGAAATTCTTAAAGTTTTCTTAGTAGCTTAGTTTCAATTTCTAGAATATAGGTTAATTTTAGCTAAATAAGATTATTTTTTTCATTATTTGTAACTCAGCTTGTAATAGTGAAAAAAAAACAAAAAAAAAGGGTCAGGCGCACTGGTTGGCACGCGGCGTTAAACGTTAGAGGCGCGTTGAGAGGCGCGTCGCGCCTAACGTCAAACGTCAGAGCGCCCTCTCAGGCACGCTGAGAGGCGCGTCGCACCTCCTATCGCCCCAACGCTAAATTTTTTTAAATTTTCGAGTTTCAACCCGGATTTACCCCGACTAACCCCTTAAATCCCTAATTCTCTCATTCTCTCTTTCTAACCGACCCACTTTCTCCCGTTCTCATCTTCCCTTTTCAAATTCCCAATTTCTCCCATTAACAAACCTCCATTAACCAAAACCAACTCCTCTCCTTCCTCCATTAAACTCATAATTAAACCTTTCTTCTTCCCCTCCACCACCTATAAACTCTCCACTTCCCCACTACTCTACTACTTAATCTCCAACTTCCCTACTGCCCTACCACTTCTAAACCATCATTCCCCCACCATGTTTTTTCTTTTTCTCTATTCTCCTCACTACCCAACCCGACCCCCCCTTACTTTTTCTCATTTTTTTCCTTTCTTTAGTTTTCTTTTCTTCACAGGTTGAGATTGCTCCAAAAGCCAAAAATGTGGCGGGTTCCAAGCGAAGTAGAAAAGGAAAAGCTTCCGGGTCCTCTAGTGGCCGGGAACCAGTGCAAAAATTTTGTAAAAAGGTTGTGGAGAGGTATGGGAGGGAATGGCTCAAATGCCAAAGAGAAGCGAAGTATATGGATGATGAATTTTTGAATGAGGTAAGGTTACAGTCGCAATTTCTTGATATATATCGGACTGTTCATGAGTTGGGTTTGAGATTTATATTTGACGATCCGGGGGATTGCAATTTGACACTAGTGCGAGAATTTTATGCTAACTGGCTAACTGAAACGAAATATAAAACTGTGCATGTTAGGGGGAAAGATGTCAAGTTTCTGCCCAAATTTTGAATGAATTGTTAGGAACCCCGAATTGTGACCCTGATATGTTTAATGACTTAAAGGATAAACCTCCTTATAGGGATATCTCACATACCTTATGTGGGGTTGATTCGAATGCTAGGTGGGGGCGGATTAAGGACACTGGGAGGCATAATACCTTCCATTTTGCTAGCTTTAAACAGGTGGCTAGGGTGTGGCTAACGATAGTGTGTAGTGTGTTGTTTCCTGCCAAACAAACATCTGACTGAGGTGATAAAAGATAGAGTAGTATTAGAGTATATGCTGATGAAGGGAATGCCTGTTAATGTGGGGGCTATCCTGAGGCAGAGTATGATGAAATTTAGGAATAATATGAGGTGAAGGTTCTGTTACAGGGGATTGATCACCCATTTTTTGAGGGTTGAGGGTATCGAAGAGGAAATGGTCGACATGACTGTTGCTTATTACCCGGATCTGACGGGTGATCTATTTGATGTGACGAGGACTAAGGCACTTGACTCATCTCATGAGCCGGTACTGTCTGCTCTAGAGAGGCAAGCCCGTGACGATAGTGTCATAGCTAGGATGTTTGGGATGGCTGAGTTGCAATTGCAGATAATTGGACGTCCGGATACTGATGCTGAGATGGAAACAATGGCAGAACGCTATCCTTTGTCTGAGAGTGCAGTGTTTTTGTGCAAGACTGGTCCTGCCTTTTTGGAACATTTGGATGATGATGAAGCTACTGCTGATGAGGCTACGGATGATGATGAGGATGATGTTGTGGATGAAGAGACGAATGCCTTTATGGTGTTCGATGGCGGTGACGACGACGCCTAGAGGCCCTAGGATGTATTCCTAACCTTATACTTTGTTTTAATTGGGCACTGAGGGCAGTGCTTATTTTTAAGGTGCGGGGTGGGATAATATTATCTGATTGTATATAGTTGTTTACTGCTTTATCGAGTCTAGTTTTTGGTTTAATTTTTAATTTTTTTATTTTGGGTTCCTCAGCATTTGTTTTCAGTACTTTTACTGAGAATTGTCCCTTTGAACCGATTAAGACTAGTTTATTGCTTTATTGAGTCTCAAAGTCATCATAGGAGTGACAGTTTCCAATGATGGATGGATGGCAACCGTCTTAAGGGAAAATTAGTCAAATAGAAGAGTAGAATTGAGAAACCAATCATGGCCTTTTGAAACCTGTCCAAAAAAGTCAGTGAAACGTCA